CTTGGTTATTGGAGACAAACGCCTCTGACGCGAAGTCAGATAGCTGCTGGGAATTGGTATCTCCCAGTAAAGGGTAACCGTAGGGTAAGGTTCGAACTGTGAGGTTGTTGGAAAAAATGCAGACGACTCTGACGCGAAGTCAGATAGCTGCAAGGAATCGGTATCTCCCAGTAAAGGGTAACCGTAGGATAAGTTAAGTTTAGGAGTTCGGTTTGAGTACACAAGGACTGAATCGTATGAATAATACGCGTCGTTAATAAAGCCTCGCAACTTGTTAATTTAATAGAATAATAACTCGAGCGGTAAAGTTATTATGTTGTGGGATCGTTACACTGGTTAGGATTGGTGATTCCAAAGTAGAGGTTTAATGATTGATTTTACAGACTTCTAAGGTTTACCAAAAAGTATATATTCAAAATAACTATACTAATTACAAATGTCTAGTGTCGTGTTGTCGCGGTTAGTGTATGAAGTTAAAATTACCTAAATGTTGCTCGGTGTTGGCGCACTGGCGATGCGGGGGTCGAGAGTACCTTTAAATGCCGTAATAGATGAAACCCGTCTTCGCGGATCTATAAGGTTAACTATGATCGAAAGGGAAACTGAAGCCCGATCTCACTAGAATACTACTCTGCAAACGATCAACGTGTCTCTAACGAGTAACTCTTTCGTACTAGCCCTCGAGCAACGAAAATCATGGGTTTATATACCCCTAAATGTTGGTGGGGAACCGTCAGTGATTTCCATATTAGGAAATTTGACGGTTAGGATTTTCGTGGCTCTGAGGTGAGCAGCTGCGTTCCCTGGGAAAAGGGTAGATTAGAAACTATCCCACGCAACGCGAGTCAAAGATGATATTAAGAGGATGCAGCTGCAGGATGCACTCCCGTGAGACCAAGCTCCAAATTCCAGAAGGGTGGATAAAAAGATTAATGCACGCGAGCTTCTAAAAAACGGAGAGTTTCTGTATACGTAACAAGGTATTTTTAACTACCTTCTGTACTAACCTGACAATAGACGGAGACCATCTGTCGTCCTGTCAATTCTTTATTCACGTTTTGTCTTGTTCCTGGTTCGAGTCGATCCGCTCAGTAGTTAGAATCTGAAACAGGACGTGGCAATACTATTATTTCAGGTGGATCTGGGCCGAGCGGAAACCCTGGATCCTTGCGTGGCGTAAGTATAGTTAATATAAATAGTTATAACAAATGAATAATTATCTTATAATGTCTTTTATGTTCTAGATTTCGAGAGAGTTACCACGGGAGTAAGCAGTACTAAGGTAAGTGTTATCGTCATTACAGTTCTCTACATTTGAATACACGTGTGGAACGTAGTTGTCGAGTTTCAGGGGTCACGAGCAAGTAACAAGAATGTTTACGAGTTTGAAAATAGTCGTTAAGAGGTCAATTGAAAGGTAAGTATTCTTTATGTATTTCAGGAGGAACGTGAGAAAGTCAAATCAAGGTGAGTATTATATGTATGAATTTCAGATTCAACGTAAGAGGATAGATTAATAGAATAAATAAAGAGGTTTGTCTCGTATAACGTATCCTTCGACGAATCGTATATTACGTAGAAGGAATAGGTTTAGAAACGACTCCTAGAAACATACATTCCTGGGAAAGTCGTCCCTTAAGGAAAAAGAAGCTGTAGTTCTCTCTAGAGGGACGTGTATTCCTCGAGATTACTACTAGAAGGTATTATGACGATTCTTCGACAGATAGATTCTATGAGAACTATCCTATATGTACATCATGCGTTTAATAAAGGAAATGAACGCTTGAATCTTACGTGAATTACAGTGCAGAATTTATGTCTCGTAATGATTATGATATTGAAAGGTTACTTACGTGTGTGTAGATGCTTCGATGATGATGAATCACTCAGAGTAATGTATTAAATAAATATAACTCTCGTATTACTTAATACTAATAGTTGATCACTTTTTATTTGTTGATTCGTATAATAATTATTCTTCACAATTTCTTTGTTCAAATATTCGTATAATGAGTTTTACAATTCTTGTATAATATTCGCGTTCGTATAATGTAAGTTGATAATCAATAATGCTTTTAATAATACCGTTCAAAATATAACTGTAATGTAATCTAATAGTTAATTAATTAATGTAATATGATAACTGATAATGATAATTAATTATATATTGATGATATAATAATGATAATGCTGATAATCCATTTATATATTGATGATATAATAATGATAATTAACTTAAACGCTGGTAATCAATTTATATATTGATGATATGGTAATGATAATTAACTAAACTCCTCGAGCCTGTCTTGAGCAGCTGTATTTATACCCCTAAATTAGGGTGTGGCTGACGCATTCGCGTTTTGCATAGTAACAGTAAATTATTAGTGCGCATGTGTAAGATTTATTGCGCAGTTAGCGAATGGAATTTTTCATACACGACGCAATGCGTGTTTCGTGCGCTGACGTGGCATCGTGCGCCTGACAGATACTGTACTTTATACATGTTCGTATGTACGTCGCATAGCATTAGACATAAGATTACATAGTGTTCGCAGATAAGATATCGACAGATGATAAGTTGTCTTCTTATAGATGTCTCGAGACGAGTTAGCTTCATGTAGTACAAGCAAGTTTACTCGCGAGGTATAAGTTATCGACAGTTGAGAATTTACTGTCGCATGATAATTACATCGACCGATGGCAACAACTGTGATTCATTGTAAATACTCTTCATATACGATATCGATAGAAACTCATTAATTACAACAGTTAGCTCTCACATAACTATTGTCTTCTCCTCTTCTTCACTTACACGTAGATTTAAGATGCTATCATTGCCACCATCTTAAATCTAAACCTCCCCTGGGTTCCTCTAAGGATATACCCTCTCTTCGTCGTAGATAGGTTCCTCTAGGGATAACCTTTGTAATATTAATATGAGGTTCCTCTAAAGTAACCTTTATGAATGAATAATATATGTTTCGCGGATGAGCGTCGCGAAAACATAAGAGTAGGAAGGGTAGGCAACCCTGAAGTTACACCGCCAAAACGTGCAGGACCATTCTCCGTACACTGCACTCGACCACCGAGAGGCTGCAATACCAAGAGTCCAACGGAGCCAAGAACCTAGCAGACCTCGCCCAACGTGCCAATACTGTGGGGCCCCAGGCCGCTATGCAACCGAGTGCCGTAGGAAAGAGTTTGACAGCAGGAACCGCACCAACAACAAGAACCAGGGAAACGACCCAGTTCCGCGGTTGAATCAGGGTGCAGCCCGCGTGAACGAAATCGTCGCAACGCACCCAACCAACACATCTCAAGCGGACATAGAAGATAAAGAATTGCCCGAGTACAGTTAAATAGGACTGATTGGATACCTTCCGTAACACTACCTGTAAAGGAAGTACAAAATAACACGGTGGTAATGGTCGATACGGGCTCAGAAGTAAACCTGTTAAAGAATGAAGTCTTGAAGAACCACGTCCGGATTAATTCCCACCATCGAATTCAGCTTCGTGGAATAGGCAGCGACTTCGTGACCACAATTGGATCCATTGATGTAAACCTCTTCCGTCAAAAAGTTATCTTCCATGTGGTCCCTAACGACTTTCCCATTCTACAAGAAGGAATACTGGGAAGTGAATTCTTTAACGAAAATGAAGCCTCAATTAATTACCCTGAGGAATAAGTCGAATTCAAAGGTGTCAGAATGCCATTCAGTTCAAAAAAGAAAAAGTGGCGCTCACCTCTTATTCAATTCGTCAAAGGAAGCGAGAATCATCCACCAGTTCGCAGGACCAAAGATGACGACATAGAAGTTGATTTATCCGTGTTCTCCAAATGGACCATGGAACCCGAGGCAGAAACCATCTCAGAAGATTGTTCGGCCACAAGCATACACGTGGACCCAACACCGGAATTGACACCTGAAAAAGAAATTACTTCTGAAAATCTGTCGGATTCAGTTGGAAAAATCAGCATCGTAAAAGCTGACTCACTTAAAGAAAACATCCTAGAACCCGATAATACCGTAGAATCTGCACCAGCAGCAGCACCTGAAAAAGAAAAAACGGAAACAAAAATTAACGTCAAGGATACACAAAGAGCTAAGATACTCAGAATAATGAAATCCATGGGTTACAAGACAGGACAAGGGCTCGGAAAACGAAATCAAGGATGGGCAAATCCCGTCTCTGTCATCAGTAACTACAAACGCAGAGGACTCGGATACCATAAGTACCTTGTAAAATGACACGGAGCAGCGAGAAACACCATTGGTCATCGTTACCACCGGACGCGCATTAAACAAACCATTAGCGCGGCGAAACGGACCAGCGGACACCGGTATCATCGAACGCGCATCAAAGCGGACTCGATGCACCTAAATAAGACGACTCACCATCACCATATCCAGCTGCAACGACCAGTGTGGGACGAGGGCACGTCAGCCACATTATCCAGTTCGCGATGTGCATCGCCACCAACAGGGGAATCGCCATCATGCAGCAGTCCATGCAGCTATGTTGAGTGACCATGGCCCAGAAAATCACTGCGGGATATTTGCTGTGAGCAATGAGTCGACTTATATAGTCTTACTTTTATTACTACTTTTTCGCCTAGTGCAGTATTGTTTTTTGTTTTATTCTTGAGCTTATCCACATTCCATGCCATTGGCTGTGTTTTGTTTTTCCTTTGTATATAGTGTAAATATTTTCTTTTATTCATTACCTTTCTCATATATTCCTACTACTATTACTACTACTGTTATTCTAAAATATATATATACAAAAAACAACAACAACAACAAAAAACAAAACAAAACAAAACAAACAAAAAGCAAAAATACTCACTTAATATTATATTTTATATTTATTTAATATCTATATACTTACCGTACTCATTTGATATCCATATACTTACCACATTCACTTAATATTATTCTTTTGTATACTTACCAAAGCTTACATTTTCAAAACGAAATAAGGGAAATACGCATATAATGTTATGCTCCATATTATACTTAATAACTACATACTTACCGTATTCCTTTAACATTGTATTACGCTTAATACTTTTAATATCATATTTTTATACTTAATAACTGCACACTCGCCTTACTCACTAATAACTGCGTACTTGCAGCGTTCAATTCACTTCATACTTACTGTATTTAATTAGCAGTGTACTTTCTTTTTGCTTATTGCGCAATATCACTCTTTATACTTTCTATTCGTAATTTCCAAAGCACTCACCTTGTACTGCGTTAATGCCGCGTCTTTCGAGACTATTTTTATGTGTATATATATCTGCGTGCTCTAGAGCGTGCCACCCGAGGTGGAATGAGTGCAAGGTATTAATATTTCTAGAGATAACGCCTCGCCACATGAGCGATTCTATTCTAGCCGCTGGTGCGCTTCGGATGCTTTCCTGACTCCAGTGACTCAAACTCGAAATTTTTATACATAGAAATTTCTTATCCGAGGGGGGAAGGTGTAACGTGCAGCCATCCCCTGCCCGTTTATTTTTTTTCTTTCCGAGACGTTATGCCCGGGCGCTGACGATCTTGAGACTACCTTATGCCCTAGCGCTGACGCTAATTACATAGTTGGGATTATGATCCAGGTATACCGTATAGAGAGTCTAGGACGCCCACTATGACGAGGAGAAGGGAGGATTACCCCTTAGTGGAGCTATTGGAGCTAGGGGCACACCAGTAAACGAGTTTGAGCTTTGGGGAACGACAGAGCGTTCGAGGATTGCACTTTGCGGTGGAGAGATGTCGCAAGTGTGGAAGAGCCTTAATATATCGAGTTCAATGCACTTTGCACTCAGACGAGCATTTTCGGTGCACTTGTACTGAAATGAACTTTTCATCTCGGTGCGCATGCACCGGACGGTAAATTTCCCGGTCATTGACCGCTATCTGGGTATAAATATGACTGCCGCGGAAAGGAGTATTTCATTCCTAGTTCGACTTTATACACGGCAACATCGTACAACACAGTCGCTTTTCGACATTGGGTGCCTTATTCAGCTCCATCACCCATCTGCTGATCCACATAGCAAGAAAACCGACAGCACCTCCACGGAACATCGAAGCAGCAAACGCCGACCAAGAGGACCCTCCAACTGTCCCTCCCAATGCTCCTGAAAAGCAGAGCAATAAATTACGCGACCCTTCGTTCTCCGACCTGAGAGTAAGAATATAAAACATATAAAATTATAAAAGAAACATGCAAAAATAAAAAAAAAAAAAATAAAAAAATAATAAATAAAAAAAATATATATATACACAAACATACATACTAAATACTTACCTTATGATTCTATTTAAATTTGATCCACGAAGAATTTTTCCATTGAAAAAATTCTACAACAGGGGGGGGACGTGTGACGTCACACGTCTGTCCACCCCAATTTTTCACATTATAATATAATAGTCGAACATTAATTATTCCTATATTCGTGTATCAAATATTAAGTTCCTACCGAATACTTTATAAGAATTTCATATACGAATAGAATATCATATCTTATTTTCGTACAACGAAGTACGAATATTTTACATTTCATTCTAAGTTCACGAGCGACGCTTATAGCTTTTCCTACCTACTGATAAGCGGCACGCGCCGAGCCGAGCCACGCTCAACGCTCTGAACTCTTCCTACCTGCCGATAAGCGGCACGCACTAAGCAAAGCGGCACGCGCCAAGCAAGCGGCACGCGCCAAGCAAGCGGCACGCGCCAAGCGATCTTTGTATTCGTCCGAGTGGCGGGAAGCATGGACCCGACACTCCTCGCGTTCCTGCTCTCCTGATACTCGCCCGAAATTTATTCCTTCATTTAAAATGTTAATAATATAATTATTAATAAACTGAGGAGTTGGAGATGCCAAAAGGACACTCCTCTATATTTTTACATTCTAATAATTCACTTCTAGATTATTATAAATTAATGCTTATATGTACAGAGGAGAAACGTAGGAGCACAAAGCTTCGCCTCAAAATTAATAATTAAGCGCTTGAAATCATTGATAATAACCGAGAAATTTATTAAATAATACTAATGTCCAATTCAAAGGTAAAATCAAACTTACTTCTTCATTTCCATTCCTACGCTAAAGCGTCTAATTGTTGTTAACAATTGTTAACAACAACCTACATACATTATCTTCGGCAGAAGTGAAGTCTGTCAAATAATGCAAATTCCGCGTCCAGCACGCAAATCCAATTTTCTCTCAAACTTCCATGAGCATCCAAGCTTGTTAACGAATGTTAACAACAATTATTATTAATCACTATTTCCAATAAATGTGAAATTTGTTGAATAGTGTTAATATATAACGTCCAGCGTACGAATTCTAATCCAACTCTATACTCGATACCTGTGCTAATCCAGTTTAACATAGTTAACAACAATACATTTATTATTATTTATGTAAATGTGAAATTTGCTATTTAATGGTGATGTATACATTAAAAGTACTGGTATCAACCTAAAATCTCGTCTCCATACTCATGTCGAGACGTTCGATTCCGATAAACAATATTAATAATTAAACGACAACAATTATTAATATTTAAAGCGGAAACATTGTGAATTAGGCTTAAGGAAAGCGAACAACTATGAAGGCACTTTAATCCACGGCAGGAAATGCGAACCGAAACAATTCTCGAGCGAGATAGATAAGGGACCGCGGGACCCAAAACACGGCCAGCTTCCCAAAACATCTTGATAGCCCGCGAGACTAAACATTCCGCGCGAAGCTATCAAGAACAAAGGAACAAAATCTTACGTGCTAAATTCACACGAAGAATTAGTCAGTCTTCTCCGAGCGTTCGTAGCGAGCACATCGTCTCCGACAATCCGAGTTGCAACTTGCACGCTGTCAAGTTTAGCTCTCGTTCATCTCAATGCGGAACATTTCGACAAATCGTTTTCCGAGCGAATAATGCTGGAACTCTCTGCGAATAGAGATTCCACGCATTTCGTTTAAAGTTTAAAATTGCGAACTTTGTATTACCATATTTTTCCTCTGTCGAGCAATGACAGATACAATAAACCAGTTTAAAGTGAAATAAGTGTAAATTCAATATCCTGTCCTCTAGAAATAAATCGGTCTTTCTTATATTGTTTTAAATTCTTTATTTCGATACATGAACGTACAATAAACCAGTTAGGTTTCTTGCGAAAGAATATATGGAATTCTTTTTAGGCTTATATCTGCCGGGAATTCTCATAAAATTCTGGAACAACCCTAATTAGATTTCGCTGATAGAATAATACACGCAACTTAGTGATAATGCGAAGGAATAATCGGAACCTTTAAGGCTTACATCTGCCGGGTTGTCGAGACGTTTGGAGTGAACCACTAAAGTGCGAACCGCAATAAATCGTTACGCACGTTTAAGGCTGCCAGGTAGCCACGCCGCTCTAAAGGTTTATTGTGGGTGTAATCTCGTTGGCGTACCACAAATCTGTTATTTAATTAAGAAGTGACCAAATTTAATTATCGAAAAGGACGACGCGCCCACTTGCGCCGCGTCTTTGAACAATTAAACACTCCGGGATACTATCAAGCCGATTTAGGCGTTGAAGTCGCGTTACCGCGTATCATTTCTAACGTAGCCGTCAATAATATTAACATTCACGTCGTTAAACCCTCCGAAGTCATTCCACTGACCGAGGCATACGAACACCTGGTTGCCGCTCTCTTCAGGCCAACTCCTGTACACCATCCAAAGGACAACGTCGACGACGACATCATCTTCGTCGAGGAGATTATTTGACCACGTTGGAGATTGATCCCGTTCGAGAGCGCTTACCAGACTCCACGTAGCCGTCCAGCCTCCTTTGCATCGAGAGATCCACGAGGACAATAGAAGCTGAAACAACGAATAAAATAAGTAATAAATTAAATTTCACACGTGTAAGAATTGAATAACCAAAAGTAGCAAGCTCAGAGGTCCCGCTCATGCCCCAAATGTGCAAAAATCGAACGCGTTTGCCGTGCTGTTTGAATTAGTCATTAATTCAAATTGGGACGTGACACCATGAGTCTTTGAAAGGTAGCTGGGGCGTTTTTCAAACGGAATGGCATCCTTGCAAACTCGTAGTGTCCGCGAGGGGTAGAAAATGCCGTTTTTGCTGCGTCCGCGGGGTCCATGCCGATTTGATGGAAGCCGTTAGCTAAATCAAACGTACTGAAGTATTTTGCGTTCCCCAATTGATCAAGAATTTCGTTTATACTAGGTAACGGATATGCGTCTGCTATAGATTTTTCGTTTAATGAGCGGTAGTCTATCACCATCCGCCAGCGTTTATTTCCTTGAGAGTCGGGTTTCTTTGGGACTATCCACAAGGGCGAATTGTACGGTGTAACGTCCCGGCGTCGTCGATCCTGTCGCGTGTCAGAGTCGGGAGCATTTGGTCGTCATTTAGGAGTCAAGAAGCGACGCGTCCTAGCTCCGATTAGATATTATTACTAATTCTCCTTTCTTGTTTTCAGCTATCGTAGACCAGTATCCTAGGAGGAGGGCAGATGGTGTAGCCGAGCGGAAACTACAACGATGGATCAACAGAAGCCTTCCAGGTAAGTATTAGATGAGAAATTAGGTTAATTATTCCTCTTCTCTTTTCAGGTTCCAGACCGAGCGGAAATCCGAAACGTCCTCGTGGCAAGATGGCAGCGTAAGTATCCAAAAGATGGATGATTTTCAGGTAGAGCGTGTGCGGAAGGGTAGGTATTTTAGGTACCTCAACGAGAGTTGGACACGGAAGAAATCGTACCCTCCGAGATAAGATATGAATAATTAGAGGGCGCTAAAAGTTAGGAGAAGCGTTGTGTCAAGGATACATTCATACCCCTTGTCAATGCTTCTGGGAAAGGTTAAAAGGTAAGGAGTTAGGCTGGAATAAGATGTAGCCAGGATACATTCATACCCCGACCACCTACTACAGGAAAGGTAAGTCTTTAGGGTGTAAAGGATACATTCATACCCTTAATCACCCACCAGACAAGGTACGGAGTCTAAAGGAAGATGTAGCCAGGATACATTCATACCCCGGCCATCTACGATAGGAATGGTAAGTCTATAGGGTATCGAAAGGATACATTCATACCTCTGATCACCCACAGAACCAGGTAAGGAATGAGAAGGAGAAAAGGAGAAGTGAGTAGCGCAAAAGAAGAGAACAAAAGAAAAGGTAAGTTATTTCGGAGAAAACGACACTCACGCAATCCATAAGATCGTCGAAGTAGCTTGGCTCAGGATATGCTGAATGAATTTGCCAGCAAATTCATCTACAGCATTTCATCACAGCCGATGGGTGAGGAAGGAGCGAAACATACATTAGTGCACACGAGGTTGAGTTAGTTTGAAGGATGAACACTGTTTCACTGGTATAATAATTTGAGTTTATTAATTCGTCGTTAAAAATGTAAAGATCGTTTTACAGAAATATACAAACGCGCGGCACGATATTGCCGAGAGATTCGAAACGCGAATGACTAGCACGATGTTGCCGAGTATAATGTCGAAAAGCGACTGTGTTGTACGATGTTGCCGTGTATAAAGTCGAACTAGGAATGAATTGTACGATGTTGCCGTGTATAAAGTCGAACTAGGAATGAATTACTCTTTTCCGTGGCAGTCATATTTATACCCAGATAGGGGTCAATGACCGGGAAATTTACCGTC